TGGTAGGTAGTAGTACACCAACAAACTAACTACGTACGTTCTCCTCCTACTACTACTACTCCTCTACTCTCTCTCTCTAACTACACTAATAACTACACACCCTCCTCTCTCTCTCTCTCTCTCTCTCTCTCTAAGTCTTCGGTTCCGTTTCTCTCTTCATTAAACGTGAAGCCATAAATATCGAGCCCGTTGCGTGCCGGAAAACCACTGTATTCCTCAGCTTTAATTGGCCTGAATTTGTTTCAGATGGCCGGAAAGCCACCGGAATCCTCCATTCACCGTACCGAATAATGTAATTTAGCCGCGAAGCCTCCGCAACTTTTGTTATAGAACCGCAGTTTCCGGTATTCTTTGGCGGGAAGCTAGTCCAAATTCCTGTTATTTTTGCCACAAAAGCATCTGATTTCTCTATGCAGGAGCTGAAATTCCGGTAAATTTTGCGGGAAAATACTGATTTTCTCTTAGCGCTGAGTAGGACAACCTCTGACGAGAAAACCACTGTATTCCAATTACCCAAAAAAAAAACCCACTGTATCCCTCCTTTCAAGCCCAGAATCGGGTGATTTCTGGTTCAAAAACCACCAGGTTTCTCCATTTGCAGGCTGGGCTTCAGCAACCTTTGCCGGGTTTCTCCATTTGAGGGCCAGAACTCTGTCAAATTTTGCCCGGAAAACCACAGGATTTAGGATTTCTCCATTTACAAGGGGGATTCCAGTAAATAATAGCGTGATTCCTACATTTAAAGACCAGAAATTTTTTGAATTTGGCCCTATAACCACGAAATATACCATTTAGAACGGATTCCGGTGAGCTTTGGCCGGAATCCGATGATTCAGAGCAAAGCTGGGGAAAGCAGCTGATCTCTTGGAGGGCATCTTCGAGTGTGTTAATGAAATCACATCGGCCATTGTTTTCTCAAGTAGGATGAGCGATAACCACCAAGCTTACAGGGTTGAGACCACTCCTCGTCTTGCTCAATGGAGAATCGAGAACATCTCTGCTTGCACTTACAGGAAGTCCGATCCCTTCAAGATTGGGCACTGGAACTGGTAATACTGAATCCATGGCTGAAAATTCCATATTTATTTGGTTAATTTCCTTGCTTTTTTTGGATAGGAGGAACTTATTTATTGAGAGGTGGATTCTTATTGTTTATCTATTTTCCATTAAAGGAGATCATCTGTGACAGTAGCACTGCTCTGATACTATTGTGTATGGTGACTGTAAATTCACTGTATTTTTTTTGGATAGGGCCTTGGATTTGGCCGCCTATGTTTCTAGTAATCCACATAAAAAAAAAAAAATTGTCATTTATGTTTGTTAATATTTATTGCAGGTATTTAACTGTGGAGAGGAATAGGCAACTATACATCAAGCTTTTCCCTGAAATTTCAAAGCTATCAAAGGAACAAGCCCCAATTGCTTCCTTTGTGGTTAGAGTCCTCAGTCCCGGTACCAGTAGAAGGACTCTGGTTTATCCAGGTATTTTTTCTGAAATAATTTACCTTGCTTTCTATTTATTTATTTTTAGGTTAAGATTTATATTTGTTTATTCAAACTATGTTTTTCATTTATTTTTCATTTAAGCAATAATTGTACAGAATTTGCTAATCTTCAGTATAAATACCTACAAGTGCCAAACCATCATTTTCCAAATGATATATGGAAGTGCCCCACCTTCTACAAATGTGACATTTTTACCCTGTCGGGTAAATAAAATGGAGAGAAAAATGGCTCACTGAAAGAGGTAATCAATGGTTATGTTTTACAGCACCAGAATAAAAAAATAAAAAAATAAAAAAATAAAAAAATAAAAGAAAATGTGGTTTGTTTCAGTATTCCGTAAAATATCCCAATCTCTCATCTCCATGATCATATGGTGATATTAGCAGGAAAACTTTATCCAATTGCTTGTTGTTTCATTGATGTGATACCCGGTTTGTATTATGGAAATGGAAAGTCGAAACTTAAAAGCTCTACCCAGGAGGGTTGTTTCGGTCATCATTATCATCTTAGCTTTTCTTTAGTTAATTGGGTCGGCTACACGAATAATGGGTTGTACTTTATGAAAGACTAGACCATAAGTCTATGTATTTTTCTACTTCCAATCATGTTGTTTCAATCATCATTACCATCTTAGCTTTTTTTTAATTAATTGGGTCGGCTACACGAATCATGAGCCGTTATTGTACTTTATTAAAGACTAGACCGTCAATAAAACCATAAGTCTATGTATTTTTTTATTTCCAATCATGTCTTTTTGGACATGCCCATTGCCTTTTTCAGTTTGTCCACTTGAACTAACTTGAGTTGTTGTACTGGATTTGTGTCACACATGGCTTGACCAGTTCACCAAAATCTACTTTCTCATTTTATTGCATATTAGTGCAGCACTTAAATTTTTTCAAATAAAAAATTTAGTTTCAGTATTTGGTAAAATATCCCAATCTCTCATCTCCATGATCATATGGTAATATTTGTAAAAAAAAAAAATATAAATAAATAAATAAATAAAAAAGCTTCATCCAATTGCCTTTATTCCATTGATATGATGCCCAGTTTGTATGATGGAGATGGAAAGTTAAAAACTCATAAGCTTTTCCTTCATGTAGCTTTTGGGATGTGACACCCAATCTGTAAGATGGAGATGGAGGGTAGCTTTCTCATTTAAACCAAACTGACCTACTTAGGAAATTAAGAGACCAAATTATCTTCAGCAACCCTGAGACGATTATCGCTCTGCTAGCACTTTTCATGTGGGGCACTCTAATAGGCAGGAGATAAAAACACTACTTATCACCAATGTTTTATAGAACAACAGCATCTGTGTCTTAAGTTTTGAAGGTGTCTAGTACTTTGGCGCGATACTAAAACTATTAACTACGTTCATGTACTTATTATCTATAAATAAAACATTTATTTCCTAATACATACTCGTGCTTGAGGTGGATGGGGAAGTAGTTGGGCGCTTGAGGTGGATGGGGAAGTAGTGGGGCATAGGAAAATGTGCTTATCTCTGCGTGTTTTTTATACCCCGTGTTTTTATACGCCCAGTGTTTTCAAATGTTGACATATGTTTAACATTGTATTGAGACCCATACAGTTTTTATTTTTTCTATTTTTTCCCTGGTACAAACTATTAAAATATTGAAATGATATGAGCACACCTTCCAAGAGTGGAGTATTGTGGTAAAACTGGTTCTCATCCTCTACGTCAACTATTTGATGGATTATTGTAACTTGTGGTAAAAGCAGCATTGCATTCAAAGTACACAATTGTTTAGAGCATAGTTTGAAAAAATAGACCAGCGGGGTGGATCATCCACCCATCAATCTCCAAATGGATCGCCAGATCACCTATTTAGATGGGTTCGAATCAACTATCCACAACATATTAAAAATAAATAAAAAGACGATAAGAGAATGGTTTATAAGTTATAGTTCACTAAGATTTCTAAGAAAATCTCGGGAAGCTAAAAAGGAAAAAATATAAAAAGCCGGGTTTTGGAGGTGACTGGGCTGGCTCCTTCTGTAAATGGATTCGGTCCCCGCTGATTCTTGCTTATTTACTTTGTTTGACTACTTTATTATACAAGCAACCTTACAACTGTGGGCTGTTAAGTGATATTGTACTACTTGCTTTGCCTAGAAGGAAGTGAATTTTTATCAGCGGCCTCATTTTATGAGTATCAAGGCTGGGTTCTCTCTCAGAGGATAGAGAAGATAGAGAAGGGCAGTGTGGTCTGATATTCGTGCAATTTTTGTGCAGAAATAAGTGATAAGCAGCTCAAGAGTAGTGAGGATTTTGTGTGGCCTGTAGAGACTACTTTCACAGGAAGGATCATAATAGATGTGGAGTTCTTCGATCTGAAGATCGCTTCTTCAAACGTATGGTTTCTGCTCTTCTGTTTTCAATATTGATTTCAATCTTTATCGCCATGTTTCCATGATTTTCATGGAAGCACCAGTGAGTACCCATTATCCTAGGATTTGAGAGCAACTCAAATAATCCTTCCATCAACCCATCAACAGCTAAATGACATTTACATAATGATTTCTTACCACAACATTAATGATTTACCTCACATTCTATTCTTCAGTTTCTACAAAAGTAACAACTGAAAATTATTTCTTGTTCTTTGAAATTGAAGAACACTCACTAAAATTTATAACAAAAGCAACCCATATTCAAAATTCTTTTACTATACTCATGTTCAACTTATTTTTCCAACATAACATTCTAAAACGCATCATTTTTCTCAATATCTTTCTCATGTGTCATTCAACATTCTTGCTATAAAATTGTCATTTCAGCACATACTAATACAACCAACAAGCTTGCTATTAATTTATCAACTACTACTTGCCAAACTACCAAAGTTGGGAAATCTAATACTTTGTTTATGCACCTTTGCCATGAAAACATAAAAGGGTGGTGAGCCCTCCTCGATCTGGTCTTTTGGTAATACACTTCAAAACCGCTGCAACTCCAAGGCTTTGAGCTGCCTAAGCCGAATGCTTTCTGAAGATCTACACACCGATGTCACCATTAACGCCTCTAATGGAAGCACCGGAGCTCATCGAGCTGTGCTTGCGGGAAGGTCCCCTGTGTTTCAAGGCATGTTTGCCCACAACCTCTTAGAGAGAGAGAGCTCAACAGTTAACATCACAGATATGTCCATAGAAGCCTGTCAAGCCTTTCTGAACTATATATATGGCAATATTCAACCTGAAGAATTTCTCGCTCATCGCCTTGCTTTGTTAAGAGCAGCTGATAAGTATGATATCGCTGATCTCAAAGAAGCGTGTCAGGAGAGCTTGTTAGAAGACATAGACTCGAAGAATGTCTTAGAGAGGCTCCAGGAGGCTTCTCTGTATCACCTGCCTAAGCTCAAGAGCAGTTGTATGAGGTACTTAGTGAATTTCGGCAAGATATTCGATATAAGGGACGATTTCAATGCTTTCATGCTCATAGCTGATAGGGAATTGATTGCTGATGTCTTCCAAGAAGTGCTGAATGCATGGAAAGGCTTCTGAAGATCGTGTGAAAAAAGGAACCCAGATGTTTCTTTTGGGGAAACTATGAACATAGCACTGATTACATAAATATGGCCGCCGAAAGAAAGAAAAAGAAGGGAAATGACTTTAGTTTTTTGAAAAGGACTGCACATGAATATATGAGTGAGTGAGACAGAGAGAGAGATTACAGGGTTGGAATCACTTTCAGGAAAGGATATTGAGGGTGAGTTTCTCTCACTTTTTCAAAATCCATGTTAGTTTGGAAGTTCTTGAAGAAACCAGTGCAGGTTTTGAAGTATTTTCTCAAAGTCACTGGTTTTTTTTTATGGCACTTATTGAAAAGGATTACCAGTGCTACTTTCATAGTTTCCCCTGGTCAAGTATGGTGTGTGGGGTATTTGCCATTCTATGTGATTGTTGTAACCGCGAATATTTTTTCATATTGTACAGGATTTGTTACATCAAAGCAATATTCTTTTGTAAGAACTGGTATTATGCAGATTTCTATAATGTCTTCTGTAAATACTGAATTGTTAACACAGCAATTGCATCCAATGGACTCATTTGATGGAACCGGATGATAGAATTGGCAGGCAAAAACTCAATTCTCATTCTCACAAAAATTGATTACAATGATTCCTGGAGAAAGATGAAATTTCTCACTCAATGCCTCAGTAAATTCATGTAACCACAAATACAAAACAAATACATTGGAAAGAGAGATATCCCTAACACGTGCTTAAGAAACTGCCTAACAAAACTGCACCTAACACCTGCTTGAGAAACCGCCTTATAAATCTGTGCCTAACACCTGCTGAAGAAACTGCCTGACAAATCTAACATTACCAATTAACTATATGAGCTCTAGATAGCAGCTATCAACAAGATGGCCATGGACAGAACTGAAAAAGTTGTTGGTTAAACGAAGCTTCGCCTTGGCCTCTCCTCAGCAACGTTTACCCTGATAGACCTCCCATCTAAGCTCTGAGACGCAGAAAATAGTCATTTAGAAAGGCCCAACAAATAATAACTGAGATTCTAAACCTACATAATAATTATAAGTCGACTGAATCATTAGCTGATTAAGCATTTTGAATTTGATCGATTAAATTTGTCAATTTTTTTATTATAAAATGAATTTCACCAATTAATAAATGATTCATGGCAAGTTTGCAACTTATCATACTGAAAATGCAAAAATCACATAAAAGAGCCAACTTGCCATATTTTGTGGTAGTGGCAAAATAGATCGGATTTTGCAACTTCCTAAACAGAGAGAGAGATCACCTGCCCATCGAGAGCAGCAATAACATCATCGAGTTCACTCCGGGTCGACATTTTCACAAAACCAAAACCACGTGATCTTCCGCTTTCTCTGTCATAGACAACTCTAGCATCGACCACATTGCCATGTTCTGCGAAAACTTGTTCCAAGCGAGCATCATCCACTTGCCACGGAAGATTACCAACGTAAATCTTGTAAGATGGCTCAAGCTCTCCAACACTTTGCATTCTTGAACCTCTTGCAGATGCCTTGTTAACAGTGAGAAGCCGGCCATTAAGTTCCTGTTGAAATGCATATAAGAGCTCTTAAATCTTTACAGCTCCACATGTTCAATAAAATGTACCCTTCAAATGTAACAAAAACACAGGAGACTAATCATATGACACACCTTTTGTTTTTTTTCCATTAAGAAATAATCGTATGAAAACTCTGATAAGAAATTAAATGCTCAATGTAGAATCTAGGACGAGGCATGAAATTGACAAACAGCCAGCTTATAACTACAGAGACCGTGCAGGCAAGAGACTAAGCAAGTATTTACAATGTTTCTTCATAGAGTACCCAAATATCAACATATGAGAGAGAGAGAGAGAGAGAGAGAGAGAGAAAGAGAGAGACAGAGAGAGATGCTCATATCATGACCACTGATTTCCTGGTTTTGCATAGGATTTATTCCTCCTGTAAATAGCCCTACTATTCCATTAGCAATTTCTTAGCAAAAGCTTTTCTCTTCTTCATCATCATCCTCCGGGCGTTATCGCAACTATTCCGAGTCGTCTATAAAATAGATGCCGTGGAGTCTTACATTGGCTGCCTATCTAACACAGACCTTCTCCTCTCTTATCTGGGCTTCGCCATGGCAGAATTTGAAAGAGAAATAAAATGAAGTTTCTGATAAGAAATTTATCATATTCAGCAAAGCAACTTACATAGCGATGAAGGGTTTCCACAGCTTTCTCTGCCTCCTCAACGGTGCTCATCGTTACGAAGCCAAATCCACGGCTCTGATCAGTCTCCCTATTATATATAATCTGGCCAACAAATTTTAAATATTTGTTAATTACATAGTACAAAACAGAAATCTTTCCATCATCAGATAAGAGGCACTATTTTGAAGTAACATATGAGGTAAGAGACCCCATTTTGCATGGACTAAGAAATGCAGTTTAAGTTCTGATGTCCTCTACAGAGTAAGTTTCTCTCTCTAAATCCAACCATGGAGAAATTGAAATCCCCCCTTCCCACCGCCACAAACCCCCCGGGGCAAAAAAAAAATCAAAAACACCCCAAAAGAAACAAAATAAAAAACTTAGGAATTAACACTGCAATGTACTAATTCATTTGTTAAAGTGAAAGCATAAAAATTTCTCCAATAATAAAAAATGTTAAACCCCAACATCCATGAAAATCAGATTAATAACTAGAAACCAAAAGGAAAAATTCAGAAGAAATAAAAATAAAAGGATGGGGTTCACGTAGAATATAAGTCTTGAAAAGAAAAAGGCATAAACTATAAACCAAACACCCACAAAAATAGAAGTAAATAAAAGATTAAATATAGGGAAAATAGGCAAAAAAAAATGGGGCTCACAGTTAAATAAAAGTCTAGAAAAAGCAAAAGAAAATAAACAGAAAACCAAACCCAAAAGAAACAGAATTTAATAGGACCTAAATTTTAATATACAGAACAGGGAAATTTACAAAAATAAAAAGATGGGGTTTTCTCAGATGATGGGTTCTCTCACCTCTGCAATTTCAACAACTCCAGCTTTATCAAAGAGTTCAGCAAGCTTTTCACTGTCTAAATCATAAGGCAAATTCCCAACAAAAAGCTTGGCTTCTTCAGGTGGTTCACTGTATTCTTCTTCTTCTTCACCAATTTTCTCTACAAATCCTTCTTCTTCTTTTTCTGTAGATTCAGTTTCTTCTTCTTGCTGACCCCAATCAAAACCACTGCGTTCAATCTCATTTTCTTCTTCTTGTTGAGCCCAATCTGTTTTCTGAGCGACACAAGCAATTAAGCTTTGAAAAAGGTTCCTCTTTTCCTTGTGAGGTATCAACGAATGTGGCAGATAATGAATCCTTAGAGAGAAAGCAAATGTGGGGTTTCTGAATGTAGAGAGAGAAAGTTCAGTTTTTGTCAAGGGAGTTGTCTTGGGGAGGTTTGGGATAGGAGAGATGGAGCAGAAATTGAGTTTGCAGACTGAGATCACAGACATGGTGAGATTTTTGAGAGACAGAGAGGAGAAAAAGATTTAGAAGAGAAAGGAAGAGGCTGAAAGATGGATAAGGAGGCCATAGTGCTCTGGGAGTGAAGCAAGAATAACCCTACACAGCAAAATGACAAAAATGCTCCCTCAGTTTTTCTTAGATTAGGAAAGAGTTTGAGATGCATGATGAGATCATTTATTTCTTGTAACACTCTACAAGTTACAACTTTCTCATGTGAAAATTGATCAGTCTGTATGTGTCAAAAAGTTTCAAACAAATTTCTTTTTATCTTTGAGCTTAGTTAATTGTTATCATCTTGTACTAAAAATAAATGATTTTATTATATATGTTTGGAGGAATGATTTCGGCTATGTAGTAGTATAATACAACTATATTTAAAAATCATGTTAGAGACGTTTGTTTGATATGAATTTTTAAATGCGCACTCTTTTCATTCTGAAAAACAATCATAAATTTTATGTTTTTGAAAAAATGCTGTAGAAAGTTTTCATTCTAACCCAATTAGTATAAACCGTCCATTTTATTGAGATGGTTAGATATAGGCCTCAGAAAGATTTTTTTATTCTCAAAATTTTTATATATCGTTATCATCATTAGATTAATAATGCTAAAAATGAAAATAGTGATTTTGAATTTGTTAAGGCCTAGATCTTGAAATTCACCAAATGGATGGCCGAGATTCATTGTTGGATGGGTATTAATTTTGACCATATCTAGGGTGTAAATTGAAAAATGGTTTTCATAGGATTGATTATGATGATGAAGATAATGTGTGTGTAAAATTTGGGGTCTTACAAATGCCAAAAGTATGGTTTTCTAGATGTATGCTTGCATTATACTACTATTTAACCGTTGCATTAGATCATTTCCCTATACTTTCTCATGTACAATTAGATGTGGCAATGGGCTCAAGCATAGGCTGTGGCACTCCTAGCCTTAGTCCCAATAAGGCTGGCTCAGGCCACACTGACCAAAAAGGCTTTGGCACAGGCTTGGCCAAGCCAAATAAAATCAAGAACCCTCACCTAATCCCACCAAAAATAAAAATCAAAACAATAACCCAATATCAAATGCATCTTTTGCCCAAATCTACCCCTTTTTCTTTCTCTTATTATGTTTAATGTCGAGGATGGTGTGGCAGAACTCGCCTCAGCCAACGCCTTGGATCTTGATTGAGGCGAGTTATAGGGCTTAACAAAGTCTTGAATAGGGCTAAAAAGCCCTAAATAAATCATAAAGAACAACCATTTAAAAAAACAAAAGTAGATGGTAAAAGTAAAATCTTTCTTCACCGATAGAATTCTAAGAAATATTGCTTCATTGCAAGGGCATTAAAAAGAATTCAATTATCTTATTAACAAGATGATCGAAATGGAATTGACAATCAACAAAGAGACAAAGTGGCGATCTTACTTTGTTCGATGCCAGAATCATGGGAAAGGTTGGTAAGTCAAAATTTTTGAATCCCAACAACTCTTAGGAAAAAAAAATCAAAAGGTAAAAGAGAAACGTGAACTAAGGGTAGCTTAATGGTTCTCATAAATACTTATATATGTTGGTTGTATGGCAGCAATGGGTCGAGTGGTAGACTTTGCTACTCGCACACAGGACATTCAAAGTTTGAGTCGACATGGAAGCTATTTTGAACTTCACCTGCAATATCGACTTAAAAGAATTCAATTATCTTATTAACAAGATGATGGAAATAATGGAATTAAAAATCGATAAAGAAGACAAAGTGGCTATCTTACTTTGTTCTATGTCAAAATAGATAGATTGATCATGACTCTGGGCAACGAGAAGACTCTTCAATTTCATATTCTCTTGAATCCCAACAACTCTCAGAAAGAAAGAAAAAACTATCAAAAGCTGAAAGAGAAATATGAAATTGAGCTGAGGGTAGCTTATTAGTGCGAATATATCCTTATATATGTTGGTAGTAGGGTCGAGTGGTAGACTTTGCTGCTCACACACGGGATATTCCAAGTTTGAGTCGGTTTGGAAACTATTTTAAACTTCACCTCTAGTATCGACAAGTGTCCAAATGTCAACATGGGTCACAATAGACTTCTCATTTGCTAAAAAATATTAAGAAAAGAGGTGGTTTGCGTAAGGTGGTTTGCATAAGGTTGCAATCTTAAACGATCATATTAAGGCACAATTCTAAATTTTATCGTAAGATATAATTTTGGTGATAAAACTTCTTAGATGACTTAAAATCTATTTGTATTCCTAATTATAAAGTTTTTAACTCCAAAAATAGTTCAAATTAGCTATATCTATAAACACAAGAAAATCTTGAAGATGGACGGTCCAGATAATTTGTTGCAAGATGCACTATTTTTGAGACACGAAAACTTTTTCTTTTTTATATCCATATATTTCAATGTCAAGATGATCAATTAGAGATTTTTCCAACATCAAAATAACCTTTTCTGATGGATTTTTGAGATACACATTAATTCAACATTTTAAGGTTGCAACCAATATAACCTTTTTCCTCGGAGAAAAAGCTAGAAAAGCATCATTTTCCTTATTGCCTTTTTAACACTTTAGATACAAGAGCACACTACTAGAGATATAAAAGAGCACACTACTAGAGATACAACAATAAAATGGTGAAAACATTTCCAATATAATGATGAGCTAGTCTCCTCCCTCCTCCATTCTACTCCATTTTCACTACCAGACAAAGAGGATTGGATTTTGCACAATTTGATCCAAAACATGGCCTGAGATATTTGTTTTGGTACTAATTAATCCCCAGAAGCAAATTTGAGAATGGCCCTACGAGTTTGTGCATCTGCAATGAGAGATATTAGCCTGCAAGGTATGTATAGAAGCAGTTCCTTTGCCAATATCAATGGAGACTCAGGTGGGAAAGCTCCTCTGCATAGGACCACCAAAAAAGTATCAACAAAAGCATTCTTAGTCACCAAAAACCTCCCTTCTTTTGCAGACTGTAAAATTCTTTTTGCTAGATCCACAGGGTCTTCTAGTTTGTTGATATCAAACTTGCAAATTTTTTCCATTGCTTCCCTTGCATGGTCTGCCATTTGATCACTTGCTGTGACATAAAAAAAGAAAGGCGCATTATAGCAGAAAGAATAAGAGAAAATTAGAAAAATAAATAAATAAATATAAAATAAAATACTTCAATCTGTACATGCTTGTAAAAAATTATGTCCTCAGATTGGATGTGAGATCCAGTTTTTAGACCGACGCAATTAAGTTCTTCGCAACTCAAAATCTGAATTTTTTTTCCGATCAAAATCCTCATTGGGGTCTGATCAAGGAAACTTGTCCAAGGAAGTAAGTGCATAATGTATTACAAGGGAGTAAATGTACAATATGGTTCCCTAGGACCAAAGTATGCTTTACGTGCTCTTTATGCATAGGTTTCCAATGAGGTCGCCTATTAGTATTGTTCCTTCACAATCATGCCCAAGTATGAAAGGCCATTTTACTAGTGCTTAGTAGCCAACATAGTTTAAAAATCTTCACATAAAAGGCACACCAGCCAACTTCAAAAAAAAAACAAAGAAGGAAAAAGTATACAATGGATCCTTTTTTGTATAGGGTGATCACAATTAATTTTGACCATTAAATGTGAAATTGTGCAGCTCCATTTATTCCAATGACCAAGCTCAAAGTTCAAAAGAAATTTTGGTCCGTCTTTGTGACATACTTAAGCTATCAAATTTCACATCGGATGATTACAAGTAATTGTGACATCTGTTTACCAAAAAATAGATGGTCTCATTATATAAAGTCCTTTAAAAAAAAGAAAAATATTCAAAGAGACCATTTACTTTTAATAAAAGGAAGTCACAACTATTCTTGTCCATTAAATTTCAAATCAAATGGTTATAAATGTACTTCTGGCTAAACCCAAAGCCCAAAAAAAAAAAATTAAACTTCGTGACACATTCCAAACTATCCAATTGGACATCTAATGGTTAGGATTAATTATGACATCTTTGTACTAAAGATAAATAGTCTCGTAATATACAATCCCTTTAAAACATTAATAAGAAAAAGTTGAGAAAAATGAGAAAAGAAAGCACTCACCAATTGCCACCATCCGAGTTCGGACAAAGCTAGGGCAGATGAGCGTGACAGAGATGTTATAAGGCACAAGCTCAAGTCTGAGGGCCCTAGCAAACCCCAGGACCCCATGCTTGGTAGTAGTATAGATGCTATTGAGGAACAAAACATGCAGCGACGACATGGATCCCAAGAGAACGATGCAGCATGCATGTTTCTTGCTTCTCTCTTTGATGAATGGGAGCATGGCATGGACGGTGTAGATCGTCCCGATTAAGTTGGTAGACACGAGCATCTCGATGTCAGGTGCCGGTATATTCTCTATGAAGTCCGATCTTCTCACTATCCCTGCGCAACACACGAGTGCATCGACAGGCCGCCATTGCACTGATTCTTCGACAGCTCGATGGATGCTCGTGTAGTCTCTTACATCAGCAAACTAAACAGATAAACCAAAGTTAACATAGCATTGGATCTCATTGTTTATCTTAAATCCTATGCCCTAAATCTTAATTTTGAATAATATCCACAAGTCTATATAAAAGGGAAACTCAGTACGAGTACAGATGAGGTACTCAGACCGAACATCTACCGTCTATGTTTATAATTCTCAAAGGATGGCAAGTGATGATTTCTTGTCCATTTTTATAGGTTTTCTATATAAACAATTAGAGTATGATTGGTTCACACGTAAATATTTTGAAATATTTACATATGTAAATACATTACATGCGTAAATATTTGCATACGCAATTTTTTACAAAGTTTGGTAGCAGATTTAAAAAGCATTGTGTAAACAGTTCATATGTTGGGTAGTGCTTGGTTGTGTCAAAATATTTACACAAAACCTTGAATAGATATGTATATTATATGAAAAGTCTTAAAAACACCTATTGGCAGAGCGCTATAGTGTTTCGCTTAAAAACAGTCATGGACCTACAAGAACACCTATTGGATTTGCGTAAATAAAATCCCGTCACGAACTTACTAGGTCCATGACGGACCGCCACAGACATGCTAAGTTCATTGATGGTCTTTAATCCACGCCGTCCGAAAAAATCCGACGGCGCCGAGCCTATGGGCAAAAATACTATTCATTTTCGTCCATAGGCATTCTGTAATCTCTTCCTATATTATATATATAACATAATAAATATATATTATATATAAAATATAAAATATATAATATAATATAAATATTACATATATATAATATAATATAATATATGATATTTATATATTACATGTAATGTAAATAATATATATTTACATTATATAATAATATTATATAATATATATGATATAATATAATATAATATAAATATAAATATACATGTATATTATATTATATTATATACATTAAATATATGATACATTCATATATTTATATATTTATATAATATGTATAATATATTTATGTATTATATTATAATATTATATAGTATAATATAAAATAATCTATTATTTATATAAAATATTATATATATATATATATAATATTAATTAATTTTGAAATATAATCTTTATATAAATAAGATATCATAATAATAAATTATATTCGTAAATAGTGAATAGTGGGTCCGCCTGTGAAAACAAATGCACAGAACATGGTCCCCACTTAAATAGGTGTGGTTTTATTTTACCATGAATTAGACCATTTCATGGTAAAAGGACTCGGGCGAGTTACTCGAACTCGCCCAAGTAAATCGCCTCGGCCAAGTCCCGAGTACCTTGGCCGATTTAATTTTCTTAACACTGGTAAGAAGTGTAAAATGATAACTTTGAGAAATAGAAACGGATAAATACTTAGCATTTACACATATATTGCACATTCAAGTTATATATAGTAGAGATTCTCATAATATATAATCTTGAATTAGCAATCTCTACAAGTTTATGTAAAGGGTGTGGTTTGTATAAGGCCAAGGCCCTAAACAATCAAAGTAAGATGTTGTTTCAATATCGAAAAACTTTATGATGGTCTGAAAATTTATTTTTATATCGTATTATAAGGTTTAAAGCTTAAAAAATAGTATAGATCGAGCATATTTATGAACACTTGAAAATCTGAAAATTTTATGGTCTAGAAAATTCATGACAAGATGTACTATTTCCGAGTCTTGAAATCTATTTTTTTTTCTCATGTTAACCTTGAGATCGAGGCAATCGATTCGCTGATTTTTAGGCATTAAAACAACCTCTTCTAGTGAATTTTTGATGTGCGTCTACATAAATAATTTGGTACAAGCTAAGATCCATATTAGGTGGTTTATAATACACGATTTCTAATAAATTGCGCTATTTCATGGAAATGCAAATGGAAAAAAAAATATTATTTGTAGGATTTTGTCTTGAACAATTTTATATATTATAGATTCCATAAACTAATACAGCTATAAAAAGCTCAAAAACGATTTTGGAAGAGAAATGAAAAAGTAGGTGTTTCATCTAAAAACAATGAAAACTAACAGATTAGTTCTAGTTTTTAAATTCTACTCATTTTTTTATATTCATTTTTTCATATTCATAATCTCTATGTTAGAGATTACATGTTTTTAAAAATTAAGTCCAAAAATCTATCTCAAAATAAATTTATTAGCAGGCCCGCATTTCTATATATAGGTTTGGCCGCATGGAAACCAGATCCTTTACGCAAAGGAGTAAATGGACACTCTATTCCACAGTAGTATAATATCTTTTGACAATACAACCAAATCATTGATAAATAATACACAATAAATACAATAAAGGATAGCTCATCTAGTGATGGCCACCACTCCATCCTTGATGTACGAAGTTTGAGATATATTTTGTATTGTTTTTCAAACAAGTTGGTCTATTTCACATTTAATACCTAGTATTTAATAGCTAAGAGTCACAATGAAATTCTAATTATTACACGGCATTCAAAGTTTCCAACAATTTTGTTTGAATTGAGATTAAAAGAAATTTAAACAGTTCAAAATTTCTTTGCTCAAATGTAAAAAAAAAGTCAATATTCAAAAACTTTGCTTGGGCTCAGGATTTAAACCTACACGTGGGCGCTCTCGAGTAGTGTGCAAGGCCAAGAAGCTAAAAAAAATGATTGCAAAAAAAAAAAGAAGGTAAAAAACTAAATAAATAAACCAAAAACATTGTAAAAGTTCAAATAAGCTGGAAAACTATAAAAATATGGATTTAGAAAAATTTGACTTACATTTCGAGACATTTTAGAAACATCCCACACAAAAAAAATCCATGTAGAAATGAGTCCCCTCTTTAAAAATCTATTTTTAAGATGGATTTTTTGGACCCATTTTTTAAGAACATATAATCTCTAACATGGAGATCATGAATATGAAAAAATAAATAAATTTTTAAAATTAAAAATAATAGTTTTATTAAAAAATATTTGGATCATTAATTTCAATTGTTTTTAGATATATCGTGCATTTGCATCCATCTTTAAAATGGATGCTTTAATCTCGGGAGACACAAATGTAAAAATGCGTCCCCAGACTTATGAACCAATTTTCCAAAAGAAAAATAAAAAAATAGTGCATATGATAAAAAAAAACGCTCACAAATCACCATAAAAGCATTTAAATTACATAAAAAAAATTATACACATTTGACAATCTAATTAAGATTTCATAATTTTTTTTAATCATCCCCAGATTTACCTCATTACTCCGCTCTGCAAGGGGCGGAGTCTGACCCGACTCGCCTGTGTCCCTCAACGATGAAAACTTTCCTTGAAGTTAATGGAAAATTTCCTTAAAGTTTGAGTGAAATATTGAAATTTAGCATAAAATTTTTGAACAGCTTGCCGCTGGTTTGTCATTCAAAATTTTGTGGAATCGTACATAAAATCACTTGAATTTTGTAGAGAATTTCACTTAAACTTTTAGTTCTATGAGACTTTCTAAAATTTCATTGAAATGTGCTGAAATTTTAGTTGGAATCAAGCTAAAGAACCGTCCATTTTGGCCAAATTTAATGATTTTAAATAGAAAATTCTTGATAAAAACTTTTTGAGTCAAGATAAGTACTTTATGGAGATGATTTTGAATGATTCGAAATTACATGATTCAAAATACTATTTTGAATGATAAAAATTTGGGTGAAAAGAGTAAGTAAACTTGGCCATGAACCAGGCTGGGATGGTTCATGTGTCCGGCCGAGTCCAACCTAAGTGGAATAAAAAAATTAAAGATTAACGGCTACAAAATAAATAAAAAAATCCAACAATATGGTGGTTTAAAAGTTCAGAAAAATATAATGTGGATTGATGACATTGGAAAATGTTTATATATAAAATCCAAAAACATCAAACAGTACAATAGTACAGGAAATCTTTGTGATGGCTTGAAAGTTGAAACTTTATCTTCATATCTAATTATAAAATTTAAGCTTCAAAAATAGTGTAGATAGAGTAGATTTATGAACACTTAAAAAAATCTTGAAAATTGACGGTCTAAAAATGCATTTTTCTCATGTCTAAACATCTTGAGGTTGAGATGATCGATTTGAGGAATTTCGGACATCTAAATATCCTTTTCTAGTGATTTTTGAGGCACGCCTTAATTTAATTATTTAGGGTCTGGCCCTTATATAAACTTTTTCCTATGTATCAACACTAATGCTCTAAAAACTCAAACCGACCAAGATTTTCTTGGCGTTAGCCTTGAAATCGAAAAGATCCAATCGTTGCCGTGAAGGCTTTTATCCACAAATTCCAAAGTTGAATATTTTGAATGCACAAAAATAAGTTGATTAAGCTCAAAATCAGTTTTTGCATCTTAAAGAGAAATCAAAATGGCACCTGCTGCTCAAATCTGCGATTGAAAAAAATGGCCCCAAAATCAAAAGAAATACATCTTTCTTCTCGAAAAAAAAACCAGCCAGAATTGACAAGTTCGATAAGGATAGGAGATTCGGGACTCGGCCGAGTCTAAAAAGACATTGACTTAGCCAAGCCTGAAAAGAAACTCGACCTATTCACTATGGTGAAGAAGCCGAATTAGTTCATATTAGCCAAGTTTCTTGATTTGGAATTCCTGATCCGATACTTATTGTCCTATACTATAAAACAGTTTATCTTTACCTATCCTTGTTAGCTGTCAAATGTTAGCTATCAAATGTGGAAGTGGATGGCTAAAAGTAGTCACTTGTCTCGGCCAAAGCGATTTACTCAAACAAGTCCGAGTGACTCCCTCAACTCCTGAATAGGGCAAAAAATATCTAGAAAAATAAAAAACATAAACACGAAAAATAAAATAAATATAGTAAAAGTAAGATAAAACCAAAAATTAACCTTAAAAGTCACATGTAACATTAGAAAAAGTAAAAGAAAAATAGATATGACAAATTTGATTCATAGTTGGGGACATTTTTTTTAAAAAAAAAAAAATACAAAAAAAGGGATTATGGCAAAAAAAACACTCTGATCATTACAAAGATATCCAAAGTATGTACACAAAGAGAGAGAGAGTAACCATGGTGTTAATCCTTTGTGTGCTACAACCAAGCTCCTTTGTGATCTCAGCCTTAGCAGTTTTGAGCTCTTCCTCCGAAAAGGAGACCAAAGTCAGAAAACCCTCTTCATTGATAACTTGTTTTGCAATATTGAGGCCAATTCCGGAAGAGCCTCCTGTGATGAAAACATGCTTTCCTTTGAAACTTTTGATCTTACAATACGAATTTCGTCCAACTGATTTCACCAACAGGTACAAAAAGCCAAGTGAAATGGCTAAGCCCACACCCCAACTCATTGATTCCATCTCCAAAGAAGCTTGACTGGATCCCCCTCTTGCCTTTGCTTTTATATGCGTAGAAAGGATAGCATGATGACTTCAATAAATAAATAAATAAACAAATATTTTCAAAAAAAGAAAAAGAAAAAGAAAAATGCAATTCGGCCCGGTGGATCATATTGGGCTTAACTATTATGGTTAGTAATACTTGTTCCGCTATTCTGCCCAAGCCTGGCTGAGGAAGAGTTACGGGGAGTAAAACATAAATATGCTGATTCGGACCAGGAATACTATATGCTATGATTAACGATAAAATTAGAAATTTTAACAAAAAGACCCACACCCAAGTTCCATAGCTTTACGTCCGCTATCCCGATCATTATTTTATTTTCCTAACCCAGAGGTCTACAAAAGCCTAGATTTTCATAGCTAAAAAAATGTAATATGTAACACATTATCTAAGCCATCTATTGTCAAGTGTATGTAGATTTGTTTAATCATTTCCAGAACTTCAAATAGCATAATTAAGGAGGAAATAGATGTTCAGGCAATTGTAAGGATTTCTATTGCCGAAAATACATTATGCACTTTCAGACTACCAAGCCATTCAAAACAAAAGGGGAGGATAGTGACTTAAGCTGGTATTATTAATATGCATATCTTGTGGTGGAAGGTGTTATTATATAAGTATATGATACTGCTTTTATGTCTCATATTTTTCCAAGCCAAACTTTGTATTTGAATTTGATAAGTTTTATGAATATCGACTGTTTTATTTGTTTTAATATTTTAAAAAATAAAAATTCAGATCGAATCGTTCAATCTGGATTAAAAATCTAAAAAATCAATCTGAAAAAAAAAAAACCATCTTGATTTCAAACATAACCTGCCCCTAATCCACCTTACTTTCTTATTTAAGATAGGAGTTGTGAAGTGGCCCACCCCTCCACTGGGCAGCATGAGCCACGTGGCCTGTAAGCCTCTTTTATAACCTTGCTCCCCTTAAAGCAAACTTCAAATGTCCTCGGGATATGGGATAATAAAAGCAAGGGATAGGTTTACAATGAAATAATAGTTTTATTAGAGGAGGATAACAGAAATAGATCGGCTACTAGAGAATGTGAACAGACTACATTTGTCAAAAAAAAAATTAAATAAATAAAAAACATGGGTATCTCCCTCAAATGGGTTAAAAATTACAATTATTTTTATAACTTACAAATATGTTTAAATTATTATTGTTATATATTAAAATAAATGATTATTCATATATAAAATGTGTTCAATTCTACTATACCTAAAACACCACTTGATTTGGGATCATGGGATAGATGGAGGTTAGGTAAAAGAAAAAAAAGGCAACCCTGGTAAAAAAAAAAAAGAAGAGGTGTTACAAGATAATGCTTAAAAGAAAAGTTCGAGACATTAATACACCTTGTGCCCTTAGAGGCATTCATTAGTACGTTATCTTGCAATCAATTATTGATTTCTTCAAAAAATGCCAAGTGCCTTACAATCAATTATTGACCTTTTCGAACAATATCAATATCTCAAAACCAAATGGCAAATATAGTCTCTTTATCAATTTAGAAAAGGGAAAAGTTTAGATAAGGTTGCAACTTTAAAATGTAGAACTACGGATGCACCTCAAAAATCCATCAGTAAAGGTTGTTTTAATGTTGAAAAACTCTCTAATTGATCATCTCAACATTGCGATGTATGACCATGAAAAAATATATATTTTGAGTCCCAAAAATGGTGCATCTTACAACACATTATCTAGACCGTCCATTCTCAAGAGTTTCATATGTTTTATAGATCTACTTGATTATAATCATTTTTGAAGTTTAAAATTTTATTATTAGATTTGAAAACATATTTTGAGGTAATCCTAAGAATATTTTACATCAAAATTATATGTTATGATAAAATTTGAAGGTGCGCCTTAAATGGATTGTTTAAGGTTGCAACCTTATGTAAACAGCACCTTTTATAAAATATATCACTAATTTGGCAACTTTTTTAAAAGCAATATATTCTTGAAAGAATTTAATAGGTAAATTCCACATTCATTTTATTTATGAAGGTTTAATTTAAAGGCTAAAATTTATATAAACAGTTATTTCTTGGCAACTTAAGTCATAATTAGAATAGATATTATATACTTTAAAACTATTTACTTTTAGTACAAACAGGTCACAATTATTATTAACCAAATGTAAAATCCGACCACTCAAAGTGCATCACGTAGTTTACAAAAAAATTATTTTGGAGTTTGTGCCTAATCAATGACACAACTAACCACCCGATTTTACATCTAAGGTTCGATAATGACTGTGACTTTTTTATTCCAAGAATAAATGGTCTCATTGTATACATTTTCATTAGAATAAAAAAAAATAGAATAACTTTGAAAAAAAAAATTAAAAAATTAATCTAAATTATTTAAATTTACATTATAAAATAAAACTTATATTTGAGCAATATTATCAATTAATATTAACTCAGTATAGGCTTGTATTTATAGACATCTGCATAAAGACATGGAAGAGAAGAAGTGCAAGTAATAGATTTTAAGTGGTGATCAGATAAAACTTATGATAGTTACATTGCTATTACTAAGGGTTGTATGCTAACCTCTAGGCCACAGGGTCATAATAAATATATCGGCCATGTAAAATGACTCACAAAAACCATTCAATAACAGTCACTTCAGTGATTAAAAATATGGAAAACAATACTATATGGTTAAATAGCCGGTATCATATGAGTCATATGATCATAACCACATTGTGGATTTCATTGGTGGGCATAGACAGTGGAGAGTGGTTTTCAACACAGTCAATTTTTACATCCCTGTTTTTCCTTCATCACCGCCCATGATGGTTTATAACCTCACCATCGTAGGGTTGTGATGGAGATGCAAATCATATCACATAAAAGATAGTTTATAAAAACTACTTGGTATTGAGAGAGAGTGTGTGTGTATTTAAGGCAAAGAGAAATGTAAGAATTTGGAAATGGGATTTTTTCGATCAATCCAATATTATGGTTTTTTGGCGATGTAGTCCAATTCGCAAGCATTTGATTTTTTGTAACCTAAAAATTAATTTAAAAAAAAATTCAAAGATGCTTAAGGATATTGAAAATAAAGTCATCAACTAGCTTTGTGACTTTGAGTTTTCAATATTTAAAGTTAGGGCAAAATTGAAAAATAAAATAAAAAAAAGGTGCTAAAAGGTTAGTATGTAAAACACATAAACAAAGTCCTCTCGTTTAATATACAAAATAGATATAAAAATATTTAAATAAGAAAACAGTTTATATAAGGTTGCAACCTTAAAATATAGAACTACGGATGCACCTCAAAAATCCATTGGTAAAGGTTGTTTTAATGTTGAAAAGTCCTCTAATTGATTATCTTGACATCGAGATGTATGACTATGAAAGAAAAAAATGATTTTGAGCCCTGGAAATGGTGCATCTTACAACACAACATCTAGACCGTTTATTTTCAAAATTTTCATATGTTTATAGATCTACTTGATTTTAATCATTTTTGGAGTTTAAAATTTATATTAGATTTGAAAATAGATTTTGAAGTAATAATCTTAAAAATATTTTACATCAAAATTATATGCTAATATAAAATTTGAAAGTGCGCCTTAAATGGATTGTTTAAGGTTGCAACCTTATATAAAACCACACCCAAAAAATAAATATGGTAGTAAGTAGATTCGCTATACATTGTTAGCAGATCCACAAATTTCGTGTGTTTACTTCATGGACGTAGGCAACATCTTCTTAATATAGTTAAACTAACATACGTTGGAAATGTACATAATCTTAAATCATGAATTATATGCAAGGGATCACATTAACAAAAGGGTGCGGTTTGTATAGAGCCAAGTTTCTAAACAATCAAATTAGAGTCCACCCTTAAATAGTGTCCACAAATGTGGTTTCAATATTATAAATTTCTAACCAGCCTTAAAATATATTTTCATCTTTAATTATAAAATTTAAATCTTTAAAAATAGTGTACTTAAAGGGAAATGACATTGTGAGACCCTCTCACGCCCATATGTGTAAGACCTCAAAGGATCACCATTAAATTTAACACAGATATCTAGAAAAATCAAATATCACACACATGTGATAACTTTTCTAGAGTTATGTGCCAAATTTAATGGTGATCCTTTAGGGCCCTACACATATGGGTGTGGGAGAGTCTCATAGGATCATTACTCAAACTTAATAACTTAAAAATTGACGGCCCAAAAATAAGTTACAAGATGTACTACTTTCAAAACTTGATTTTACAGTTAGTTCATTTATTATTCTGAGTTCTCTTTCTCTTGAACGATTTAATTTTCTTATTCTTAATCAAATTCCTGATTTCTCTTAAAAGGATTCAAATCACATGCTTTGCACAAGCACTCTACTAGGTTAATATAAATTGAGAATTTATAAAATATAGTTGTTATATCTTTTTTAAAAATTGTAAATTATAATTATATTTAAAAATTTTGCAATATCTTTTCCAAAAAATGTACAAATTTTATACATGAAAGCTACTCTCTTGGTACTAAGATGTATTTTTATAATTGTATGTTCTACTTTGGACTATATATTCATATCCCAAATGACTTTATTTTCTCTCTTTTTGATGTGAATGTAATGGTCAACAAACATTATGACAGGAAAACAACACCTCAAATTTTTCACATATTTTTACAAGACAGTGAAAATACATAATACACTACCATTTTTTTTGGAAATTCAAGAAATGATATTTATATAGATTTTTTTAGTAATTTTCAAATATTTTAAGGCCGGATCCGGCTGATCCAAACAATTCACCAATCTAAACCACCGATCGGTTGATCAGAGTCAATTTTCTCGTATAGGCAATCTGGGTCATTGATATGTTTTATTAGTAACATGAATGTCCTCTAAATAATTTTTTTTTTTGAGAAATTTTTATCAATACTATGTTAAACACTACATAATATTTC